ATCTCTTCTGTTTTCTTAGTATTTATTAAATGCCTGTGTGTCAGCATAGTTACAGATTAAAAAACAAGACTAACATCCAATGCTAATGAGGGAGAGATGGCTACTTATGGGCGGGGCTTTCCCCCTCTGATGACACGTACAAAAGGAGAATGTCAATCAAAGTGTTTCTGCAGACTGTTTTTATCAAGTTTGATTATAAACCATAGAATTAATCATTGTTTTACCATTAGAACCTAGCTAAATATACACACTATTACCACACAACTGCGTTTATAAAAGTGATTTTAGCATAATAGGTACCCTTTAAGGTATGTAAGATCTCAGAAAGTACCTTCTGTCAATGTAAATCCAGCTCTGACATTGGTCTGCTGTGATTAGCCCCTCCCCTCCATAAGCCAGCTCTTCTCTGATTGGTCAGCTGGCCAATTTAGATTTGTCTTCTCCATGTTTGAAATGAAACAACCATTTCTTTCGCGTTTGTATATGAAGGCATTGATGTAGATCACTAGCAGACAAAAGATTCGGAAATATAACAATTCGTTCAGTTGATTCAGAGTCCAATCTTTTTTATGAGATACAATATCTTTATTTATCAATACATTAACCTTAAAGGCAATATTTTAATTTTAAGTTTAGTAATAACATTGTAATTTTCTCAGAATATGCATTTAATATAAGAATAAATGAGCAATGATTTTGATAAGGTTTGTTTGAATCCATTTTTGCTTAAGGTCTGTATGCTCCTCCCCTTCATAAGCCAGCTCTTCTCTAATTGGTCAGCTGGCCAAGTCTGTTTTGATTAGTCTTTTCCATATGTCCATTTCAAATTGTTTGTTATTTATGGAAAGGAAGAGAATATGAAAACATAGATCTGTTGCTGACTTAGATCAGTAGCAGGCACTGATTAGAAATTAAAATAATGACTCGTTCCTTTGATTCAGAGTTCACTCTTTCTTATAAGATACAATATTTGTATTTATCATGCACCTTTCGTATTTGTGCTTTGCAGACTGTTTACTTTTGAGGACAGCTATGCTAAAAACTGTAAAAAAACAAAATGGTATTTTTCTAGAACCAGTTTGACCTGCTCTTTAATAGTGACTAAAGATTCAGAATCTACAATGAAGTACTAGCAAAGCTTTGGGCTCAGATTACCTGTAATCCTTCTTAAGAATGAACTGAGGGCTTCGTTACAATCCCATTAGTTCTCTATGAGATCCAGGGAATTCAGTGTTCGTCCTCCATGGAGAAAACACTCTTTGTCTCTCAAACTTTCTCACTGTGACTCAATGTTGTGTTGCAATCTCTTTCTCTCTCTCTCGCTCTCTTTCTCTCTCTCTCTCTCTCAGTCCGAAACACACCTTGATATTCAATGCAAAGCCAAACAGTTCAATTTTATCATGCAAACAATCAAATATTTAAATATGTATTGTATATATTTTTTTCTTCTGGAGAAAAGTTTTATTTATTTTAGTTTGCTGAATAAAATAAATGTATTATTTTCCTCCTCAGTGAAACAGCTCGTGGAACAGGAACAGATGTATACAGGATTTAAATTAATAGTTCTCACCAAAAAAATTGTAATTTACTCACCAAATTCACCAGGATCCAAATCTGTTTCTTTCTTCTGCTGAACAAAAGAAAATATTTTATTTTCACATATTCAGAGAAGAGATGTTGATCAGCAAGAAGTTATTTTGATCATGGAAATATAGCACACATACATTTAAATAAAACAAAATACTCCAAAATTCATTCATTCATTCATTCATTCAATTTTCTTTGGCTTAGGCCCTTATTTATCAGAAGTTGCCACAGTGGAATGACCCGTCAACTATTCCGGCATACGTTTTATGCAGCGAATGCCCCTCTAGCTGCAACCCAGTACCGGGAAACACCCATACACACTCATTCACACACACATACTCATACACATACGCATGTTTTTAGACTGTGGAAGAAACCTGAGTACCCGGAGGAAACCCACACCAACACAGGGAGAACATGCACAGAAATGCCAACTGACCCAGCTGGGACTCAAACCAGTGACTTAGCCATAAACTTATTGATTGGAATTACTAGAGAATAATATTACAGAACTGCACCATTTTTTCTCATTTTGTCTCATCTTATTCACTTAAAGCACGCGAAAGAAGGCTGTTGGCATGTTTGCATAGTTTTTAAAAAGCTTGAAGGTCTTTGCAGCACTTGAGTGTCAATCTTTTGCTTCTTTGCCTTTTTTAAGCTTCCTTACCATTGATCCACTTGTTTCCACTCATGTGTTAATCTGCTCTATTCTGATTTAATGGTGGCTTTGATGCTCAAGATACAATATATTGATAAGTACAGCTAAATTATTATGTATATATAATTATAATTAATAATATATATATATACACATATGTATATTTGTAGTTTCTCGCGAGATTTGTCAACATGTACAGACAGTCTCACTTGCTCTTTAGACCCATAGATGCACATTTTTAGGGCTTAAAAAATTGGTCCCGCCCGGGTTTCTAAATCTCCTAAAATGTCCAGGATTCAACTTTTGCATTTGCTTTCTAAAGTTCGTATGCATTTTATGGACTACCTTCCGCTTGCTTTACAGCTGACAGCGCACACCGCTGCGAGACCGAGGCAAAAAGTAAACAAGAGATTCATTAATCTAAGCCACAGGTGTCAAACTCAGTTCCAAAAGGGCCGCAGCTCTGCACAGTTTAGTTCCAACTCTAATTAAACACACCTGATCAAACTAATTGAGCCCTTCAGGCTTGTTTGAAACCTACAGGTAAGTGTGTTGGAGCAGGGTTGGAACTAAACTGTGCAGGGCTTTGGCCCTCCAGGAATTGAGTTTGACACCCCTGATCTAAGCGATTCAGAAAAACTTTACTACTCGGAGAGGACGAAATGACATCTAAACTGGCTGCAAAATATCTGTTCGCCGTTAGTGGTTAATTAACAGATTTGCCTTATTTTACAAAAATCTACTCGTTTTAATCTTGCGATTATGATATTTTTTTAGAGATAATGTCTGTTTTTATTCCTTTTTCTGTCATTTATTTTTCATTAGCTGATTATTTTATTAATTTGATGATGTTGATATATTATATAGGCTGTTTTATATACACATCTAAAATGCTTTAGCATTCAAATTTGCTTTGAACTTGAAAGAGAGTGTAGAAAATATAGTTAATTTTTTTAATTTTTCATTAGAGCTATCCTTTATTCTCTATTAGTATGTTGTGTATGCCCATGCTTTGCCTAAAACGATGTTAAATCATTTACATTAGTCATCCTTTACTATATATTTTTTGTATTCTATACTATATTTTGTATGCTCTGTCAAATAAGTTAACCAAAACTAGCCTTTGAGAAGGTGTATTTAGCATACCAATGAGGCATTTTGTAGAAGGAGCTATCTTGGATAAGAAATATGGAGCAAAAACAATAAAAATAATGTGTGCCTCTCGCTTCTGACTTCCTGTTTAACCATTTATAAAAGCATTATGGGGCCCATAGAGGTCTCTAAGCATTGACGGGAGTTGTTCACGTAATAGAAATTAACATCGGCCATTGTAGATATCTAAATAAAAGCACTATAATATTTAACCTGATAACATTTCACAGTAGTCCTTTAACAAATGATCATTAAATCATGAATTATTAATTATTTAACCTCATCATAGCCTACCTTCAGAATGAATTTAACCTTCAAAAAGATCTAATCTATATTCGAGAACACTCTTATATATAAACTCTTATATATATAAAGGCTCTACATTGGCATTGCTGGTTCTGTGAAGAACCGTAAACACCCAAAGAATACAGGAAAAATGTCATGAATTATTAAAATGTTCAGGACTCACATTATTAACTACTCTTTGAAGAACGTTTTTTTATATCCCCAAAGAGTCCTTTAGTAAAAGGTTCTTAAAAGCATTAATTTTTTATAGTGTGAGTCCTAAAAAATTTTTATAATTTCTTTGGCTTCTTTATTTTTAAAGTGTATTTGAGGTTCGGGTGTTCAAATACTGGCCTTTGATTCAGAATATATGTTATATGATATTTAATTGCAATAATGGTGACGTAGTGGCGCAGTAGGTAGTGCTGCCACCTAACAGCAAGAAGGTTGCTGGTTCGAGCCTTGGCTGGGTCAGTTGGCGTTTCCCTGAGATGGGTTGCAGCTGGAAGGGCATCCGCTGCGTGGAACATATGCTGGATAAGTTGGCGGTTCATTCCGCTGTGGCGACCCCAGATTAATAAAGGGACTAAGTCGAAAAGAAAATGAATGAATTAATTGCAATAATATATGTGTTATATGATATTAAATTGCACTCACACATCATCACAACAACATCAGCAATGAAATTACAGGAAACACTACACACACACACACACAAACACAATTAGTTTTTTGTTGGTTTTATATTCACACATTATGATTTTTTTTCCTTTATAATATAATATCAAAAAATATTATTAGTAAATTCTGAATATTTAATTCAAATTAGCAGCTGATGACCATCAAAGTACATTGTTCACAGTCAACTAGTGCAAATGTCATATCTAAGATTCGAAGTACCATGGTAAACAATATAGGGAGCATGTCAATATAAAACCAACTATACCTCAGCAATGACTGCTGCTTGTTCAAACTAGCTGCTTATTTAAAATGAGTTGAAACAACACGAGTAATTCTTAACATTTTTTGTTACAACTTCATTGTTTTATGTTTAATCCACTTAAATGTGTGAAAGCAATAAAGTTAACTTAATCGATTTATGTTGGGACAACATGAAATAATTGTGTGAAAACAGATTTTTTGTTGCAGTTACAATTATTACGATATAATGTGACAAGATAATTGTTTAACGTTCAATCCACTTACATTTGTAAATATGATGAACTTATCTTAATCGATTTTTGTTGGGACAACATAAGGAATTGTGTGGAACCCAGGATTTTTAACACACACACGCACACACGCACGCACACACACACCTCCCTCTATCTCAGTTTCAGTGACTGGTTTTAGAAGCGGCAGTTTCTGAGGACCCCTAAACCACCCTGACGACAAACGGAGAAATGCGCCGTTTAAAATGGATTAATTCTTTACCGGGAACATCAGCAGTCCATCCGTGAGCCGTAAAGACAGACAGAAGAGGAACCAGTGGCGTAAATCTTGTTTAACCGCAGCGTCTGTCTATCACTGTGAAGTGTGTTTGTTGGGGTAAGAGAGACGTCGATTAGCTTTAGCGCTGTTAGCTTCGCTGGTGCTTTGCTTCTCTGTCCCGCAGCCGGGCTTTGTGAAAATCACGCCGCATTCCCTGCCGCTCCGCCCCGCTCTGCTCTCACGCGCTGCCGAGGCTTCTGCGGCCCTCCATACGCCTGCTGCTGCCGCTGTGTGCTGCAGGTCATGAAAAGCTGCTTTTGTCCAAAACGGAAGGACGCAGTGCATTTTACAGTTAAGTCAATGTTTAGTTTAATACTACAGTCGATTTTGCACAAATTTCAAGATGAAAACAAAAAATTGAGGACGTTGGATTAGCTTGTTAGCTCGCTCAGGCTAAGTATTGAATGTCAATGGAGTCTCCTAGCAACCTGCCGGCTAATGCTAATAGCTACAAATTGGGTTTCAGCCAAATAACAAAGCGCAATGCAAAGAAAATATGATTTATTCATGTTATGCCTTTAAGATATTATAAAAGCAGCAACGAGGTGTGAATTGTTTAACAACGTGTTATAACGTTATGTCGTGTAAGTTAGTTGATGCTATTATTGAGGACTGCTTTATAAAATAACGTTACTGCTTCTCTTTAACAAATACCGTTATGCAGGAATATAACGTTAAATAATAATATGGCCCAATATTTATTACGGAAAGCATTGTTTGTCTGTGTTGGGCAATATCCAGTCTGCTTGGTAATCACATTTATAACATTGTTTATTATCAGATTTTAGATGTAGATGTCTGATATGTCTGTTATTGAATTCAAGAGACTGTGTAAACAGAGGTTATGTCAGGAAAACAAGAGCTGTCCGTGTCTTATGATTTGGCTTTTGAAATGAGATTTTCAAACTAGATTGAAGCTAAGATTCCTAATGAATTTGATAAGCCAAGATAGGATAACGGTACTGTGTCATTTTGTTATCAAATTCTGCAATTCGGGTTAAACAGAAGAATCAGCCAGTTATTTCGGCCAGGGTGTCTCCTCAATGCTGCTCTTGTTTGCGAGATTTATGAAGCCATTCATGGCTATTCATGTTTGTATGATGATCGTGAATATACAATATTATGGTCTGGATCAGGGGTGTCAAACTCATTTTAGCTCAGGGGCCACATGGAGGAAAATCTATTCTCAAACGGGCCTGACCATTAAAATCATGGTACTGTATATATAACTTAAAAACAACACCTTCAGATTGTTTTCTTTGTTTTATTATGATCAACATAAAGCAAAAAGCTAGAGAGTGAGGACAACCCAATCTCTCAGTAATTTGTAATTTTTTGATATAGTTGCTAATTCATATAGATTCATACAATCTCATTTGTACAATTTAGCATGTTTTGTTTGTCCACCAGTGATAGTTGTGTTTAGGGGTGTGGGTGCCTCACCTCTTTTTTTTTATATCGTACATTTTCGTACGACTGAACTTGTACGAATTAGCCACAAAACTGACAAAATGTGAAATAGTTACATTTCCTTGTGAGGACACCTCAGTGTGGTGTGGCAGGGCATAGATGTGGTCTTTCTCTCTGAGAAGGCTGTAGAACCGATGCTGATTCAAAACGTTTTATCGCAGGGTTTCTTAACCTTTTTTACTTTGGGCTCACTTCTTTCTCCGATCGATTTTTGTAGGCCCACCTGAAAAATATCTTTTCTCAAAAATATTTGTATGAAATGCTCATTTACACCTTTATTTATTATTAATATAAGTAGTATATATGTACAAATGTATTATATATATATATATATATATATATATATATATATATATATATATATATATATATATATATATATATACATTTGTTGTGCCTTCTATTATTTTCTATTATCAGAATGTTATATTTAACTATATATAAATGTAAAACTGTATAATATATATATATATATATATATATATATATATATATATATATATATATATATATATATATATATATATAAAATCAGGGCTCAACAATAAGGACTGCCCGATGGTCCGTTGCCAGCGTGTAAGATGCTCGGGACAGTAGACAGGATCGTTACTGGCCTGATCGGGCCACTGAGGCCCTGTCACTGAAGTTTAATTTGCCTGTGACTATTTGTCAATTGCGTGCAAATACAGCCAGAATCGAGAAACCGTTTGTGTTTTTAAGCCTTAAAATGCTACCTTCTGGGTACCTCTTATCTGGAGGACCATCTGATTGGATGTTGTAAGCACGTTTTTTTATCGTAACAACCAGTACAGCGAAGAGGCAGCAACATGGCGGCAACATCAAGTGATGATGCTAAAGTAAAACATTTGTTTCTAACGTCTTGAAAGCAAACATTTAGGAGGGTACACCACGTCTAAAAAAAAATGAAGTGATGTTTTGTACAGTTTGCCGTCAGTTTGGGAGGTCAGCCATCTTTTGTTTTGCAATAAAATACCTGCACATTTTGCTACTTTTGTTTGCAAAACACTTTGAATTTTGCTCATTATACATTTATTAACATTTTTTAAATATTTAAATTCGAGATTCACAAACATTTTGATAATTTTTTTTTTTTAAATTTGTGGCTAAGAAATAGCTATAAACTTTTTTTGGTAGGGCCAGTGAAAATATTGGCAGAGCAACTAAAAATCAGAACCACTGGTTCAATCGGGCCAGTAGAAAAAATCCTTAGCGTTGAACCCTGCATATATATATATATATATATATATATATATATATATATATATATATATATATATATATATATATATATATATATATATAATTTTTTTTTTTTACTTATTATTTATTTATTTTATGTATTTTTTCAAACATACACAGATTCAAAGAGAACCACAGGTCAACAGGGAGATTGCAAAATAGCAGCTTCTGCTTTAAGCTGACTGAATATCTACTATTAAATATCTACTATTCCAAAATCAATTCAAACAAATGTAAAATACAGTAAACAATCTTTTGAAATGCGTCAATCTGATGGCGGTTGAGTTTGCAGCTGGATATTGTTGGGAGATCGCTGACAGGAACATTGAACAGCTTCGCCAAAGGGTGTCTGAAACTCATACGCAAGATTATTTTACAGTCTATGACAGAAACACCATTGAGTTATAAATGTTATAGTCTGTTATAAATCACTCACAGGACATTAATTTGGACAACTATGTAGATATATTAAATAGTTCACATAATAATGCACAAAGAGAGACTTTCAAAAAAACTGAATAAATATTAATTTACACACCTTTACTCAAGTAAATAAGCAGAATCAATGACGAGCTAAAAACCTGCGTAAATTTGCGGAATTCTGCGCACACAGATTCCGTGTGGGCCTAGCTATACATGGTTTCCGCCACACCAAAATTCATCCCGCCACGACTACATTATAACTTCTTATTCAAAATATTCCATCGTTTTTTAAATAGCGGGTTAAAATTGCACCGAAAACGTATTAAAAGGTGAGTGAATAATACCAGCGCAAACTTTTCTGTGACCATGGTAGTGCTGTGTGTTCTGTTTAACCCTTCAAGCTGTCGTGCTGACTGACAGACTGACAGTTGCGTGATGCGTGAGGCCAGCAAACACGGCGTAGCTTTTAGTTATGATGAACACAGTTTCCATAATTATACTTTATTTATAGATAAAGGTCTGTGGCTCTGCATATAATGACTTTATCTTGCTGGAGTTTATAGCCGTTTCACTTTACTTCAGGACGCATTAATGCCGCGGTCCGCTCCGCAAGTCTATCGGAGACATTCACTAAATCACACTTCAGCTGCATTTATTTGAGGGCGCGCAAAAAAATCTGCACTTGAGCAGCGTATATTTAATGGCGCGCAAGAAGTTTTGTGCACGAACAGAGGAAATGGGCGTTCAAGCAGAGATTGACATGCTCGTAGGCTATTACATTAATGCGATCTCGACGTAATACTGCGCCCATGACATTTGTCAATAAAATAACGCCACATGTAGTGGTAGATCTGTGTAAAATGCCCAACAGAGTCTGCCGCCATAGCTGGAAAAAATCCTAGAGGAAGCATTGCTATATGTCATCATATTCATATATAAACTCTTTTTTTTTTTAATGAATTTTGAAATATATGATGCATTTGTATATGACTTATTTGTATATCTTTGAAATCTAAACATTAACTTGTATTTTAGATGTATGAATTAGATTTACATATTTAAATTAAAAAATTAGATCTACTTACTGCATGTCAGAGTAGGCTATTTGTGTCAGAAAAGCAAGTGATTAACTTTTTTTTATTGTCATTTAACTATACCAGTCAACATTGGGATAGAAAAATTTGGGATACGCCCCAACAACCATTAAATATGGGAAGGAAATTAGCTTCAAATTATAGAATAAATAACAAACACTAGAAAATTGAAAATGTGACGACCCCAGGACTTCAGTATGGATGTGGCAGATCCTGATTGGGTGCCTGGTTGTCACCAATTGGCTCAAACCATATAAAAGGGTTTTGAGTGCTAGCTTCTGGAGGACGGTGTGGCTACGGGCCGTCCTCGTGTTCAGATCATCTCTTCATTTCTGAAACCTTATGGTTTTGTTTAGCATTATTTATTTATGTAGTTAAAGTAGTTAATTTCTTTATTATCCCCAAGACATTTATTTGTTTGTTGATTTGTTGTTCTATTTAGTTTTATGTATAATAAATAAGTTGCATATACATTCTTTTGTTGTCCGAACTCTTTTATGTTGCGACTCAAACGAGGGGGTCGTAACAAAAAAAAAAAAAAAAAGGTTTAGCCCAATGACTGTAAAAAATATGGACGACGCGACAGCCCTTTTTCCCATTGAACGCCTTGAGGGCAAAACGCCTGCTTGACGGGCACAAACTGTCGCAAAAGACTGCTGAAATTGGAGCCTTGACATGCGCAGAAGGATTGTCTGATGGAGCCAGAGGAGGAGCCGCGAAAATGAGCGGAGTCGAGCTTCCAATCAAACGCTTTATGTAAAATCAACTACGCCCCCCGAACTTCTCAGCATGCGTTTGCTGTCATATCAACACAAATGGATGTAATAACGTTAACAAATATGAGGGTTTTATATATTCAATCGCGCCAGCTCCAGGCCGCAGCGCATAACTTACTCGCGGCGTCGCGGGCTGATTCCGGCTCGCATGCGGCAGCGCCTGCTCGCTCGGCCGCCGCATCTGGCTCGATTGACTCGGACTGGAATCGGGCAGTGAGTCCAGGCATCCGGAGTAGGTCCAGCAGAGGTAACATTAGTCAGTCTGAGC